AGCGCTCATGGCAACGACGAAACTGCTTTGTCTATAAAATACTAACTACATATATAGTTAGGGAATTGGTCTGTCTTGATAGACGTTTGATTAAAAAAACAAACATGTTAGTCCCTTTAAGATTTGTATTTAAATACCTCTGCCGTCACACCCTATTTGCGTTTGAAAATTCGACATTTATGACTGAAAATCATTTCCACGCGGTAGTTTACGACCGTCGTACTGTGCGATTCGGACAGTCCGTGAAGGCATCACAATGAGGGGCGTGCTTGGTCTCCTCTGTGTGAGCTTCGTTAGCCACTAGCCAGCCAGTTCCCGCGGTAAGGTCCATCCATCGTTTTCCTCCTCATCGCCTCGCCTCACTGAGGTCGGCCTAGGCGGACTCCGCCGAAATCAAACTCGAGCGAGCGCGCTGATGGACAGCGAACTCCAAAAAATGGAGCCGGTGGACAGCGAACAGGACGAGGAGGAGAACGTGTACGAAGTAGAGCGAATCATTGATATGCGTGTGGAGGAGGTAAGCCAAACAGGCTAACCAGAGCTTACGAAGCTAACAGGCTAACTATAGTTTACCACGCCAATAGGCTAACTACTCTTTCAGAAGCTAACAGGCTAAGCTTACGAAGCTATTAGGCTAACTATAGCTTTGATCCTACCTGGTCCTACTTTACAGGCTTGTCTCCCCTGCTTATGATATTCGCGGAGGCAGCTTTGTGGACAAATTCTCACCACGCTAGCAACAAGACAGAGTCTATTTTGTTAGGTTTAATATTGCATCAATGCGCGTCCTAAATCGTCAAAAGTGGTGGCTAGTTAAAGCACATTAGTAACTAGCGTTGTTTTAATCCCAGCATACCAACAAGGAGTCAGAAGTATCAGACAGAATCTGATTTATTGATATGCAAGAAACACACAAGGAATTTACTTCCCAGTTACAACCCGTTGAGAGGAACATAAACAAGAGAGCAATATCCAACGCGGGCGAGCCAGAACGAGAAGCCTGGCGATATCTTAGATGGGAAGAGGAGGGAAAATAGCCGATAGACTCCAACCGTTCTCCTTAAATGGAAGGATGGTTTGAGCCACATGGGGGGAAAAAAAACCTCAGCACGTGTAGCGTGCATTTAAAAACACAGTACAACAATACAGTACATGTAATGAACATTTTGGAGGGGGGCGGGGGCATTACAATCTGTGCAAAGAGCTGCACGTAGTAGGTGGGCTCAAATCTCTCCAGCTGTGCAACGGGCGAGGGGACTGAGTGAATAGGAATCGAGCGAAGACGTTGACCATTGCGGCTGCAAGGCCAAAGCCTTATCAGTCACAGGCTCAAGGCAGTTATAGAGAGGAGTAGATGGAATACTCGTATCCGTGTGGTTTTTTTTTCCTCATCCAGGGGAAAGTCCAGATAACAATCAATCAGTCAATCCGTTTTCAAGGATGGTACAACTTCTCCCAGTCTTTTCCGTTGTGCGAAGCGGCACCAACACCGCATCCACTTTGCGGGTTACTTTGGTCAATGCATGAGTGTTGATCACCCACATCTTGAACTTCTCTTAATTCTACATAAAATTAATCTCATCTTACGAAGTAGAATTTGGTAAGAAAGAAATCTGTTTTTCCTATGAAAAATACCCTAGATATAAAGCACCGTAATGAACATGTTCATTTTTCTCCTTTTTTTGCCTTTTGGTGCACCATTTGGTGTTGTGCAGCGTGTAAGCGGTGCGTTGAATATGTTTTCCAGGGTGAGGTGCTGTACCGGGTGCGCTGGAAAGGTTACTGCTCTGATGACGACACCTGGGAGCCGGAGGGCCACCTGGAGGACTGTCGAGAGGTCCTGCTGGCATACAAGAAGGCCACCATAGAAATCAAGAAGGAACCCGAGGACAGGAAGCCAATACTAGTGAGTTTCCACCTCTCTCTCACACTCTCTCACACACACACACACACACACACACACACACACACACACACACACACACACACACACACACACAGAGATTTCCTTCTAGTCTAATAAGTATTACATGTTAGCAATACTCCCTTCTCTCCCCCAAGCCTCTGCCAATCAAGAGCGACGTGTTCGATGCCGACTCTGAGAGTGACAGCGACAAGGACCAGCCCGCTAACGATACGGCCGTCATCAAGAAGAAAAAGAAGAAGAAGAAGTTTCGAGAGCTGGAGGACGAGGAGGAAGAAACTCCTCGCAAGGAGAAGAAGAAGAAGAAAAAGAAGGACAAGTGGCGAGATGAGGTCAAGCCTTTGCCCGCTCCAGAGACGGACGAGGACGATGAGGAGAAGACGGCTGAGACGAAGAAACATGTGATTAAGTCGGAGAATGAAGATGAGGCGCCACCTAAGAAGCCCAAGAAGGAGATGACCAAAGATGGCAAGCTCAGGAAGGACAGAGGCGGCGAAGAACCCAAGAAGAAGAAAACCAGGAGGGAGTACAGCATAGCTTCATCGGACGAGGACCTCAGCGAAGGCCTGTCGGACTCGTCGGCAAAGAAGGAGAAGCCTCAACTGGACGAGCACCGTTCCAAGCCCAAACAGAAGCTCGACGGCAAGCTTAAAGGCACGAAAGACCCGATGCAGGACAAGAAGAGCAAGCTGAAGGAGAGCAGCCTGCTCAAGCTCAAGTCGCTGACTGCCTCCAAGATCCGCGAGGACGCAGGGCCGCCCTCGTCAGACTCCAGCGATAGCTCGAGTTTGCACCGCAAGGGCAAGAGCAAAAGCCAGGAGGCCAAGGCCGCCGCCAAGCCCCGAGAGGACGAGGCAGCAAGAGAGGACGGCAAAGGCTCCACCAACCTCTTTGAGACCTTCCTGCAAAGTTGTGCGGCCAAGGACCGAGCCCCCCGCAGGCTGCCAGCGGACAAGAGTGCCAGCAAGCCCTCCAAGGTATTTCCACGTTTATTTCTTTTTATATGATGGAGTTGAAAGGGTCGGCGCCTGTAGGTCAAGGTGTTCTGCGACACTGAACTTGGGATGTGTCAAGTTTGGGAATGAACATAAAGTTCCGTCCCTGGTCATTATTCATTTGAAAATGTCTGTCCTGATTATGAAGACAAAGTTCTCCTGTGAATTAATTCTATTCATGGTCATTAATTCCAAGTTTCACCCCTTATATTTAAGTCACAGTTTTATTCCTGGTCATTAATAAAAAGTCCCACTTGTAGTAATTAAGTTTAAGTTCCCCCCCTGGTCATTTCTAAAAAAGTTCAACTGATGGCTTTTTATACAAACTAGCGTCCCGCTAATTGATTTGAAATGTCGTTCCTGACAATTGTGACATTACCATTGGTAATCAATAAAATGGTCCACTACGAGGAAGTAATGCTAAATTCCATTTCTAGTCATTAATTTGAAGTTTCATCGTTGTAATTAATACAAAATTCCGTTCATGATCACTGGTTCAAAATGTCATTGCTGTTAATCAATACAAAGTTCCACTGAAGGTTATTAATTCATATTTACACTCCCCGTAATTACGAAAAAGTTGTCATGATCAATTGATGGTAATTAATACTAAGTTCCACTCAAACTAAAGTTCTATTCCTTGTCATTACGACAAAGTTGCATTGCTTCTAATTAATTTAATGTTCCATTTTTTGCCATTAGTACAAAGATAAATCCATGGCTTGTAATAAAATGTTCTATTAATGGATATTAATGCAAAGTTCCACTGCAGGTTTACTGCTGGAAATGGTTACAAAATGCACTTCTGGTAACTACTTTTAAGTCGAGTCCAAAGGTTTCTTGACATGATGTTCAATGCGCCCCTGCACATCCAAACACGGCATTCTGAAGAATATTGCATGAGTGGAATATGAATTCAGCAGCAAAATCCACCGTTTTTCTGCTTCTCAAGGGGCGGCCATTTTCAAGGTTCAAGGTTCAAGGTTCAACTTTATTGTCAAATATGCATACATTGACATGTAGCATGGATGAAATTTATTTCTCTCAATCCTCAGCAAACAGTGAAAGACAATGTAGTCTAAAACAGTATAAACATATAGACGATATATACAATAAAAGAGACGATATATACAATAAAAGCAGCATAAAACAATGGCACTTGAGGCTATTGAGGATAAAAGTGACGTAGTGCATTGTGCAATGTGCAATATGCAGATGACGGATAATGAGGGGAGGGTCATAGTCTGTGACAGGAGGCAGGGGTCGGGCAGAGGCAGAGGGTGGGGAGTTTGGGCAGAGCACGGAGGGAGTTGAGTCTCCTGACCGCCTGGTGGAAGAAACTGTCTTTGAGCCTGCTGGTTCTGGCACGGAGACTTTGCAATCTCCTTCCCGACGGCAGCAGGCTGAAGAGGCTGTGGGATGGGTGTGTGGGGTCGCCTGCGATCCGGATGGCATGGCGGGTCAGCCGGGAGTAGTAAATGTCCACGAGTGGGGGCAGAGAGACACCAATGATCTTCTCAGCTGTTCTCACGGTGCGCTGCAAGGTCTTTTGGCAGGACACAGTGCAAGCACCATACCACACAGTGATACAGCTGGACAGGATGCTCTCAATGGTGCCTGTATAAAATGTCTGCATGATGGGGGGCGGGGCTCTTGCTCTCCTCAGTTTGCGGAGGAAGTACAGGCGCTGGTTGGCTTTTTTGGCCAGTGATGCGGTATTGTGGCTCCAGGACAGGTCTTCAGAGATGTGCACTCCCAGGAACTTGGTGTTGCTCACTCTCTCCACTGTGGCACCGTTAATGGCCAGTGGAGCATGCTGGGAGTGCGTCTTTCTGAAGTCCACAACAATCTCCTTTGTCTTCTCCACATTCAGGTGGAGATTGTTGTCCTTACACCACAAGGCTAGCCTGCTCACCTCACTCCTGTAGCTTGTCTCATCGTCGTTGTTGATGAGACCCACTACAGTCGTGTCATCCGCAAACTTAACAAAGAGGTTGGAACTGGAAGAAGGAGTGCAGTCGTGGGTCAGCAGTGTGAAGAGGAGGGGGCTCAGCACACATCCTTGTGGGGCTCCTGTGTTC